AAAAAAAAAAAAAAAAAAAAAAAACCAACACAAAACTGTCCAAACAACAAAACACTTTTATGCCATTAAAAATTATATTGTAGAAGAATATATAATTACAAGGAAAAATGGGAGAGAAGTCATTTACAAAATAGTATGCACAACATGATCACAATTTATAGACAGATATATGTATAGATATAGATTAAATTAGATAGATGCAAAAACTAGAAATACATCAACCAATATTAATAAATTACCAAAATATGAATGTTGAAATCTCTGGATGGTAAAATTATGAAGTGTATATTCTTCTGTGTTCTAAAGAGTATTTTCCAAATTCCTACAACGTACATGTACTACCTTTGTAATGAAAAAAAGTTCTTTATTAAGAGAAAATAAGCTCTAAATACGTATTGAATGAATGAATTCAATTTATTTTCTTATATACTTCTCCTGCTTAGAGGTGATGGAGTTCAGGGCAGGCTGCCCCAAGATGTGCCACTCTCATATGCAGATTATTTTGAGCTGAAGACAATAAAGACTCAGAAGACTCTGAAAGAAACTTTGACCTTCCCCTCAACTAACTGTCAAAAAAGATTTAAGATAGAAGGCCTGTCCCCAGGACAGGCCATCACCATAGATAACGCTGGGTCCGGATAGACTGGGAGGGTCCTTGCTAAGCCCATTCTTATCCAAGTTCTGTTTACCAAACATTTACATTTCTAAGGGAAATCTCCATTTGTAAAGGACTCTCCTTCACTGTACTGGAAAGAGGGGGGATGATCTCATCTCTAGAAACTTGTCAATGTAGAAGGCAAGGCCTTAAATCCACATAATAAACTTACTCTTGTTTACTGTGCTTTTCTGGTAATCTCCCAAAGCTGACTCCCCCCACCCCCAACATCCTCCTTTGTCTTCACCTGAATATGCTATTTAAGAAGAGAACCTCCGCCATTTTGTCGAGTTACCCAATTTCCTAGGTCTTTCCCACATATACATGTTGTAAAGCTTTGTTTGATTTTTCTCCTGTTACTCTGTCTCATGTCGATTTAATTCATATCCCAGCCAGAAGGACCCAGAGTGGGTAGAGGATAGTCTTCCTTCCCTTCAGAGGACTCTCTATATATGGAAAGTTGTAATTTGGGAAGGAAAAGCTTTAGGTATAACTCAAACCCAGTGTCACTGAGACTTGAACAAGAACACCAAGAACTGTCTCAAAATGTCATCACATACATACACATGAAAATTAAGCATGTCACAATAGAAAAAAAAGAAAAACCTTAAGCTAAGGATGGCTAACCTGAGTCCTCAGTGACATTACAGAGCTGCCACACCAGCCCAGGACTACCAATCTCTGGACTTACTGAGCAAATACAACTTTTATCTGTTTAAGCCATTGTTAGTTAGGTATTCTGTTACTTGCAGCTAAATTCCTTCTTAACTACATATGCAGTAAAAGTATAAATAAACAACAGATTAGAAAGATGTAAGATTAACAGTTCTTATCTCTGGATGATAGGTTTATCAGCAATTTTTATCTCTTCTCCTTTTTGTAGTTTCCAAATTTGGTTTCATGAACATATAATAATTGTGTCAACAGAAAAGCTATTTTCAAAAAAATGCACTTCTAAATTATAATCTTTCTTAATAAGAATATCATGAAACAGAAGATAAAATAATATAGCAAAGGTCTCTCAGTAAGTGTGAGATAACTGTTGCACAGTTCAGATGTCCTATGTTAAATATACAGAAATTTAGTAGAAAAATTGGTCAAGCCATATAATTAGCCTACCTATGCCTTAGAAAGACATGCCTGAACAAACCCTACTTTATAAATAATGAATTAATGGGTAATGAAATCACTTTTCCTTACACTTTATGGTACGCCGGACGCTCAGGAAAAAAAAATTCTATATGCCAGAAACAGTCAATAGAAAACGTAATAGGAAAATAACCATTAACTGTAGTCATAAAAAAAAATAAACTACCTAAGAATAAAACTTTAAAAAAAAAAAAAAAGAAGCAAGATCTTTATGGGGATAATTACAAAACATTATGAAAGGACACGCAAGTCAATCTGACGAAAATGTTCTAAAACTGGTTTATGGTGATGGCTACACAACTTGACTAAAAATCATTGAACTATATACTTGAAATGGGTGAATTTTACGGTATGTAAACTATAATTCCATAAGTTTTTTTCTTTAAGTCTACATGAATAAACAGAGATATGCCACATTCGTAGATGAGAAGACTCAATAGAAAAGATGTCAATTCCCCCCAAATTGATCTATAATTCATTGTCATTCCAATCAAAATCTCAATAGAAGCTTTTGTGGAACCAGACAAAATAATTCTAAAATTCATATGGAAGATCAAAAGTCCAAGAGTAGCCAAGACAACTGTAAAAGAAAACAAGGGCAACTTGTCCTACCAGGTAGAGACATATCTTAAAGCTATAATAATTTTGACACTGAAGTTTTAACATAAATACTAGAGACAAATAGACCAATGAACCAAGTAGCCCAGAAACAGACCTAGTCACATACAAGAACTTGATATATGACAGAGGTATCATTAAAATCAGTGAAGAAGGCATGGACTTTTCAATAAAAGACATTGCAACATTTGGCTTTCTTGCTGGAAAATACAAGTTAGATGATGTCACATGCAAAAAAATTCCAAGTACATTAAAGAATTAGAGTATAAAGAAACAAAATATTCAAACTATTAAAATATAAGCTTAATAACCTCAGTGTTATTAAGCAGGGTTTTTTTAATGCAAAAATCAGAAATCATAAAGGGAAAAGAATGGAAACATTTCATCTCATCAAATAAAAACTTGTCTGATTGGATAAAGAAGATGTGGTATATATATACCATGGGCTACTACTCAGCCATAAAAAAAGACAAAATCGTCCCATTCCCAACAACAGGGATGGACCTGGAGGGTATTATGTTAAGCGAAATAAGTCAGAAAGAGAAAGACAAACACCGCGTGATTTCGCTCATACGTGGAAGATAAACCAAGACACAGACAGATAGAACTGTTTGGTGGTTACCAGGGGCAAGGGGGGTGGGGGTAGGCACAAGGGGTGGAGGGATGCATTTATATGGTGACTGACAAACAATAATGTACAACAAAAATTTCACAATAAAAAACAACTTGTATGTATCAGAAGATAACAAATTAGCAGACTGAGAGAAGTGTCCTTGTAATATGTATAATCTACAAAAGTGAAGAATCCAGAATACATAAAGACCTACAACATCAGTAACAAAGAGACAAATAATCCAATAAAAAGATGAAAAAGATAAAACTGAAAAGAAAATCTAATCTAAACGATTAACACAAGAAAACACCTTCTACTTAAAGCCACAATAATATGTTAAATATGCAAAGTTTAAAAACAAAAAATGATGAAAAGACATGCAGAAAGTAAAGTCTTGTACTTTAGAGAAAAATTTGGAAACAAATTGAAAATGTATAAACTCTATGATCCACCCATTCTGCTTCTATTATTTCTAGAGAAACTTTTGCACATGGGCATTAAGAGGGCATATATAAGGGTGCAACAATCTGTGTTAGCAAAAATTTTAAATAACCTATTCATTAACATAGAATAGATAAGTAATGCGGGGTATATTCATAATACTGAATAATGTGGAACAGTTACATTCCATGTTATTAAAAACAACTTATGGAATGGTATATATGGTAAGAGTATTCATGTAAACTTCAAAAACACAAGGTAATACTATTTTTGCTCATAAATATGTAGTAAAAATATAAAATATGACCTAGTAGGATACACTCTACAAGTTAATGACAATGGTTGCTTCTGGGTTGCACTGAGGAACGGTAATTTTAAAACTTGTAGTATTATATTTCTTTTAAATAAATTTTTAAAACATCGAGCAAAAACAAAATATTGGTGTCTATTCACTCTGGGCTGGTGGCTACACAAGTATGTATTATATTATTCCCTGTTATCTAACATCTGAAACACATGCTTGCTAAAAGTACTGCTTCATGGGGCCGGCCCCATGGCTTAGCCGTTAAGTGCTCGGGCTCCGCTGCTGGCGGCCCGGGTTTGGATCCCGGGCGTGCATCGACACACCGCTTCCCTGGCCATGCTGAGGCTGCGTCCCACATACAGCAACTAGAAGGATGTGCAGCTATGACATACAACTATCTACTGGGGCTTTGGGGGAACAAAGGAGGAGGACTGGCGATAGATGTTAGCTCAGAGCCGGTCTTCCTCAGCAAAACGAGGAGGATTAGCACGGATGTTAGCTCAGGGCTGATCTTCCTCACAAAAAAAAAAAAAAAAGTACTGCTTCACTTCCAGGGAAACCTGGAACAGCAATTATAAAGAAATTTTCATCTCAGAGTTCCTCAAAAATTAGGAAATGATACTTCACTTTATAGAGAAAACTGGGACCCAAGTCTTATGTTTTCCAAGAAAGCTAGCCATATCATCAGAATCCATGTTTTCATATTGATTGTATGACAAGCAGTAGTTAAGTATAGCCTACTAATATTAAAGTGTGAATTGTTCTGGAATGAGCAGTCAGAATAGTTTAATCAACTTTATTTATGCCTGACACAAAGTATATAAAAGAATAAATAAGAAGGCCTCTTGACTACATTTTTAAAAATTCATACTATGTAGCTTATATCTTTTTTTTTTTTTTTGTGAGGAAGATCAGCCCTGAGCTAACATCCATGCTAATATTCCTCTTTTTGCTGA